ATTCTTTATATTTGGTCTTAAGCATTATTAACCCCCACTTCCAGAAGAGTGATTTGAAAAAAGTTGTTTCAGTGTTTTGGTGTGTGGTATTGACCCTCAAGGGAGTGCCAGTGGGAATGGGAAGAGAAGAGGGAGGGCCTGGAGTTTCGTAAGCAGTCTTCCTTGTCAGAAAGAACGTAACCCTCCGTATTCTGGTAGTGAATAGAAGCTCAAGAACATGCTGTTAGTATAATGGTATAACTGATGTTGGCAATAGTGGGAGGAAGGGTATTTTTTTTTCCCATGATTCTCATAAAAATGTCAGTTATATCTGGAAACCCCATAATATAAGTTTAGTCTTAATGTAGTGCAAGAGTGCTGCAACTATGAAGGGGGCATTTCTCTAAGCCCTCCTTATCCTATCAGGGAAAAAACAAAATAATTTCATTATTTCAAGGTTGAAGGAGAGGCTTATTTTTCTGCTCCAGGCTTTCAGAGAAGAAGAAAGCTAATTTCCAGAGGCAGAGAATGGGAACCATGACAAGAGGCCAATACTCAGATGTGTTTGTGCTTCATCTTCGAATTGCTTTCATCTAGCCTTTTGACGGCTGTGTCAATTGGTGGTATAATTGTTTTGAAAACAGGCATATACAGCAAGTAAGAAGTTGCAGTTATGATGGATGGGTAAATGGAGTGGAAAAAATGGATATGCTGAAATGCAAGTGGGATTTAAAATTGTTCTATGTCTACTTGAAAGATTAATTAGAGAAGATACAAAAAATTAGCACAGAGGCAGTAAAAAGCAGGGGGAGAGAGAGACTGACTGGCCAAGAAAACTGTTGCAGAAGGGAAGACTTCATAGAGGTAAAGTCAGGTTTGGCAAAATTCACGAGTTAACTAATGATATTAAAAACCCCCAAAGTTAAAATATTCTTTAGCTATGTAAATAAAAAGAGAATTAGCAAAAAAGTGGATTTGTCATGCATCTGGAGTATAGATTAAGAATAGTTTAGGCATGGTCTCCAGACTAAATTAATAAGGAAAAAGCCGTGGACCAGCAGGGTAAAAGCAGGATATGTACTGGGAACCAGAGCATGTTACTAGAAATTTGTACAAAATCTCAGAACTTTAATGCAGTCAAATTGTGGTTTTTAGATAATCTCTGGGTTGAGTTCAGACACAGCGGATTTGAGAAATCCCAAGTTCTGAAGGCATCTATTTTTAATGAAAATACATTGAATTGAAGATGGTGCCATTTGATCAGAGGGAAGCAAATTTAATGCCTATAATTAAGTCAGCAGAGGGAAACTGATAATGGCATCAGCAGGGCCTGACCCAGAAGTGGTCCAGGATTCAGAAAAGACTTTAAGGGGAAAATGATAAATAGAAAGCAAGATACAATGCAGTATGATTTGCTATCTTACTAAAAATAGGATGTGCCCAACCAACCTGATGCTTTAAGAAAATCTGTTTTTCCTTCCTTAAGGTGACCTGGTATTTGATGGTAAAGTGTCTGATGAAGAGCTAATAGGAAGTCTAGAGGAGATTAGCAGAGAAAATATTAACTGAATAAGATGAATAACCAGAAGCAATGCTTCTGTGTTGAAAAAAGCGTTGGGCTGAAGAGAGGTTAATAGTGGAATTACTTTTTGCATTCCCCAAAATAAGAACAGTACTAAACAAGATGAGTTTTAAAATCAATCCCAGAGTAAGATGCATCGGTAAAATTTACTGATGAGGGAATGCTGAGAGGGAGGAGCATGACACGTTACAGCAAGTGCTGATTGACTCTGGGGTCTGGAGTTGTGGGGAGAAGAAAGAAATTCAGCAGTAGAATATGTATTTATTTAGAAACTGAAACAAAGAATAAGCTCGAAACTAATCAATGAAAATGGTGGAAGAAAAGATATTTCAAGCTGAGTTACAAAGTAACTGACACCAGTGAATGCCTTTCTAGTCATCTGCATTGGAAAAGGATGGATACAAACTGGAGGAAATGCAAAGGAAAGTTATGGGTTAGGCAACTTCAGAACTATCTTGTAAGAAGAAACTAAAAGCTTGGGGTCGTTTGTCCAGGCCTACAGAAGTTAGAGGGAGATAGGATTATTGACGGTAAACTCAAACACACATGCAGGGAAGCAGAGCTTTTAAGGGAAAGGACTGTTTTGAAGCAAGAAGTTGGTAATCCGTAAACCTGGAAATTTGAAGGTTCTTATTCATAATAAGAGCAATAGGTTTCTAATAAAGCCATTCAGTTGGAATAGGGAGATATTTTATTACCTTTAGGCTGGAGCTTGATAACTTTGTAAAGAGTGTATGGTATGCCTCTGATAACCCCAGAATAATTGCAGGTTGATGACACTGGAGATATTGTCAAAATTTATATTTGTATAGTCAGGGATATTTCGTGTCTGCAGAAGATTAAGCATTGTACCAAAAAAAAAAAAAAATCTATTTTTTTGGATAAAGTTCACATTCCCTGTTATGCTAGTGAGATCTTCTTTTTTGTAAAAATTGTTTAATTTTGTTGATATGGTAATGACAAGTTGAATTCAAAACTATGCCAGTAGTACACGGTAAAGAAAAGGCAAAAGAGAAATAGCAGAAGTGCAGGATTGCAGAAGATGCTGTTAGAATTTGAGGGAAAGTAGAACAAGAAGTCTCACTTCTGATGCAAATCTTGGGAACTAAGAGCTTGATGCGAGTATGGGCATAATGGTGTCATTCTAAATTCATGAAAATAGCTTTACAAATGAAGGAGAGGCAAAGTGGGGTCAGTGCAATTCAAACACATGATGACAATTTTAGCCTAAATAGAATGCTCTTTGTGACTAGATGAATTAATTACTGTAAGACAGTGTTCTTGCTTGTCATTCTGATTCTTTCTGCTTGTTAATCACTCCTAAATTGTAGCTATTGCAGTAATATTAAGATTTATTACTTACAGAGTTTTGTTAATCTCTCTTCTAGTTTAGTGTTTGTTCACATATTAATATAAATGTTTTGAAATGTTTCTTATTTTACATTTCTACTCTTTGTCCTCTGTAGTACTTACTTTCTGCCTATTAAGTATTATTGTTCTACTGAAACACTGTATGACTGTTTTAAATGTTTTGCTTTCATAGTCGAGCTTAATTTACCTATTCGGCAAATTTCATGACATACCAAGTCTGAGCTGAGAAGGAGATTAGTATACAAAAAATAAGTTCCAGTGGCAATGAGAAGGACTGTCTGTAGAACGGTTTAGCTTATTCTTTGTGCCTCACTGATCTTGTAGTGATTTCAGTATTTCCCTTCTTATTGCTTATGACGGTGCTAACACACTTCAGGAAACTTTAGATCTACTGGAGATACTAACAGAACTCAGTTTGCTATGAACGGGATGAAATTCCTCATCCTGTTAATCACATGGAAAACTTTAAACATGAAAACTGGGAAAATTCTTACCCAATACGATGAGTTGTAGTAAAAATGAAACAGAGCAAATAATGATAGGGAAATGTATGCGTATTTATTTGCACAAGGAAACACTTATTTTTAGTTGTACAAATCACTGCAGTCTTACTAAGTACATTTTTTTTCCTCTTACTTTTTTCAAAGAGCTGCGGATCTTTTGAAAAAAGTAATTGGGGGAATTAATCTTCTATTTATCCAAACTATTCTGTGTCCTTTCTCTGTGGTTTTTTTTGTTTGTTTAATTACAAGGAACATTTGCATGAAAATAGGATTTTAAGACTTGAACGGCTTCTGATGCTTTTTCCCAGATACATGGAGTAAACCACATTTATTGTATTTGTAAACTAAAACAATTATAGTTTTGTAAAATTCCTTGCATGCCTTTTTACACTGAATTATTAATGAAAGTTTGAGATTATGCTTTAGAAAGGTGCCCCCTGCTTTCCCCTTGAAAATACATACCACTAACGTATATAATTCTCCCCTCTCCTCTTCCCCGCCATCATGTCTCCTTCAAGACCTGCCAAGGAAGTCATATTGGTAGTCATCTCATTTCTGTGGCCAATTAAACTCAATTTCTGTAGTTCCTCCATTGTCTAAGATAAGCAGCATCTTATGCTACAACCCTGCTTTCCTTGAAAATACATACCACTAACGTATATAATTCTCCCCTCTCCTCTTCCCCGCCATCATGTCTCCTTCAAGACCTGCCAAGGAAGTCATATTGGTAGTCATCTCATTTCTGTGGCCAATTAAACTCAATTTCTGTAGTTCCTCCATTGTCTAAGATAAGCAGCATCTTATGCTACAACAAATCTTGTAAGTCAGACTAAAGTTTGCAAAAGTTCTTTCAGATTTTTAGGAGTTTTTTCATCTTTTCAAAGGATCTTTGTAAAGACTTTTAATAAAATCAAGTGGATTTATAGCAAAATGTATCCACAGTGAAGTGGAAATCCAGAAATAGAAATTTGATAGGGATGTATGCTCTGGCAAAACTTACTAATGATTATCAGATGATAGAGATACTGCTTTAGTTTAGGCACAAACTGGTCATTCTGTTATGGCAAAAATAGAAAGGAGAGGGACCTCTCCTTGCTCTACACGTTCTAATAACTGAACTTGAATATTTATATCATGTCGCATCAGCAAAATGTTTAAAACTTTCTTGCATGATCTTCTAAAATGAATTCATTTTCTAAAATGTACATTAGGTTCTGGATTGCCAGTTTAGATAATGTTTTGTGTTATTATGATCATGTTTAATATTGTAGTTATATTTAAAATTTAGTGTTTAGTTTATGCTTTTTGGATAGAAGATGTATTTTAACTACTTTTCTCTGAGTTGTACCTTCTTACAACAGATCTTTTTTTAGATTATTTTTATGCATTGACTGCTTGCAAAATGTGAAAATACTACTACAAAAGAGTAAATTTTATGATTCTTTGTAGTTACAGAATAAATAATTTTACAAATTCATGTTTGAAGTGTGGAATACTGAACTTCAAACATAAAAGTAATCCGTTATCTGACTGAAGTTTAATTATGATTTCTATTCATTTAGATTTCTCATATTGGAAAGCTGAAAGATTTTCTTCTGCAACACAGAAAAGATTACATTAATGCTTACAGGTAAGTGTACATTGTGTTTAAATAGATTTATTTATTTATTTTCAGATTTATAAAGTGAACTGCTTAAAAATCTATAGGCATAATGACTAAAACCAAAACATAGATTGCTTATTAATTGGCTTACTGTAAGCTACTTAAGATGAAGAATAGTGCTGTCACAAGAAGAAAATGATCCTAAATAAAATGAGACTCAGAATTTGAAGAAGATTTCTGGCTCTTAGGAATGAGTTCTGAAACAAAACAACCTGGCAGTCCCAAGTCCAACACCTTTTAAGGACCTGCAGAGTAGGTTTCTGAACCTACTGGATTAATTACTGGATTAATTTAATTAATTAATTAATTACTGGATTAAATGTGCCAGGTTTTCCCCTTCACTCTGTGACACTAAACCTACCTGTTATCATGAAGTATACAGTCAGTAGCATCAGCAGGTCCTGGAGGAGAATGATGTGAACTCTTCATACTTCAGACCCGAATGTGAATTCCAGACGAAGGACACCATTGAGAACACAGTGTCAGGGGACAGCAGCACAGGATTTGCTTTTCTGTGACAAAAACTGTAGGCTTCAGTTCTGGTAGTTATTATTGTGTGGAGAAAGTTTTGATATATCCAAATGAAACAGTGTAGGTAAGCTTTCCCTTTTATAGGATCTTCTGAAACTTCACAATTTCCTGTGTTGTATTTCTCCAGTCCCTCAGCATAACTGCAGTATTGCATGGGGTGAGTCAGCCCTGTCTGCATTCCGATTCTGCCACAACCCTGACTAAAGCTAAGCTGTTGCTGCAATCAAGGTAGAGAAAATGCAGTCTAAAGTCATCTTGGGTTGAAGACACTGAGTCCCAAATCAATTTAATACCTTTCTCCAAAAGGCTTCACAGGTACCCGATAGGAGCGTTATCCAGACAGGTATCCATCCCCCAGGAGAAGACAATAGGAACAGATGAGCCATCTGCTATTCCTTAGGCTCAGTCCATACTGGAGAAACAGGCTTTCTGAGAAACAACTTCTAGGCCTGAAAGGGTCTGTTACAGTAATAACAGTACTATACAATCAGTGGTATCAAAATGTGTCCCTAAGTAAGGTGCCAGAAGACTTCAGGCACCTTTTTTTGTCTCCCTGAGATTTTAAAAGCAGTATTTTGTTGTTTCAAAAATGAAACAAAAAAATGAAGATTTTGACATGTTTCATAAGTGTGAGGCCATGAGAGCTATTCATAGTCAGTGCCAGTGAAAATGAATCTTGGGGGTGCGGGTGTCAATTCTGTGTGCAAGGCGTATGAGGAACTGCTTTTCCAAGCAGCAAGCAGAAGTAGTGTACAGCTACATGTTATGACTAGCTCTCTGCTTTTCAATTCCTGTTGGAATAGGTCATGACCAACACTAGGTGGAGCTACCAATTTAATACTGAAATAACTATTTTTACTGTGTGAAAACTTCATGTGAATGCATAAGCTGAGAAACTGCAAATAATTGCAGTAGGAGCAAACAAGTCAGTAGCAGTTAAATTTTGGGTACTATCTGTATTTTATTAACAGTAGTGTGCATAAAATTGAAGTGATAAGAGGAGTAAAAATTTGTCCAAGCTATTTTGGTTTCTAAAAGTTTTTTTTTAATGTTCTTTTTGTAAACTCTCTTTTAACCAGTTATCATGGTGATTTTCACCCCCATGCACCTCAGGTATTAACTAAGGAGAGGAAAAAAGAAGTGTCATTTCCTCCAAATCTCATCTGTGATTGCAGTTGATCCTGTCCTTAATGGTCAAACTTAAAATAGATAGTACTGTCAAATTCCATACTACATTGCTCATGCTGTTCTACTTTGTGGATGCAAAGATGATCATAGAATCCGTGCTGTCATAGAATCTTACAATCTTAGCAAATGCCTCACTCATTCAAGACAGCAGTTTTAACAACTTTTCAATACTTAAGCTATGGGGAAAAATTTCAAACAATTTAATGCTAAAAAGCTGTGCTGGAATTTATGTAAGAGCTTTAATTTTGTTAATGAAATTTGGCTGCTCTGTATTTTGTCAATCCTGCTATTTGTTTTTCAGCTATAGCATGATGTGTTGGTGAAATTTGGCTTTTCAGTTACCAAGTTGAATTATGGTATGCCTTGTAAAACTTCTTCGTAATGTGTTACATCCAGGTCCTTGATTGCTTCTTTGACCTTACTTTTGCAGACTATAAATTCTTTATTAATAGAGTCTTTATTTTTGGCATACATAAAATGTCCTGCTACGGAGAGGATGTCTTTAATTCATTTTTAGAGGAAGATTTTTAGCAATGTGGAAGACAACTGGAAGAAGGGTTAATTGAAACTAAGGCCCTGACCCATTTTATCAAACTTTAAATATTTAACTGAAATACCTAAATTGAGTCCAAAAAGCTCAAGAATTAGTAAATTGCTTATTCACCTTCTTTTTTCTTGATTTGACTGTTCGCTATAAAAGATGTGAATGGCAAAACAGATGAAACTAGTGACGCAGTGATCTAAGCTTACTGACTTACAAGCAATTGCCCCTTTATCCTCTCCTGTTTATCAGGATTCATTTGCTTTCTCTTACACCTTGGTTTTCAGCTTTTTGTGATAAGGAACTCTTCTGTTTTGTCTTCTTGCCTGTTTTACCCTGTCTACCGTGATTCTCTCCTCTGGATAGAACTTCTGAGAGCTCTAGCGGTACCAGAGATGTGGTATCATCTTCTACTGACAGCATGAGTTACAATGGAAGGAAACTTGAAACTGGCCTGTTAGAAAACTCTGATTTACAGAGGGGCACATGTAGAAGCTTCTTCAAACTTCTCTCTAAATGCATGGTTATTTCTTGTTGTTTGGCTTAAAAATTGGGAGTTGTATTAATCTTAAAATCTGTGGCAAGAATAGTGAAAACTTGGGCTTTCTCTACAACACATTTTAAGGAAAAATAATAAATAATGAAAATACTGAATGAGTAGCAAAGACTATGAGTGACTCATGTTATTCTTCGTAACAGCTACTAAGGGAAGGACGAATAACTATATGTACCATTGCTTTTATTTAACGTTAGAGCCTTGTCTTAAAAATAACTTAAATAATTTTAATTATTTTCTTGTTAGCTTCAGATACACATTTCAAACCTAACAAAGCCCTTTGGGTATCATACTCATGATCAGTGAACACAGTCAGTGGCAGAGTATTTTATAAGAAATGTGTAGCTAAATCATGAGACATTGCATCATCACTGTTCCTGCTAATAGTAGCTGTCTCTGAGCTGTCACGTGTGATGTTGTTAACTGCAGTCTCTCTCCAAGAATCTTTGGAAAGAAGTGAAACTCAACAATCAAGAAATGCTTTAGGACATCTCAGAGTATTTTAAAATTAATTAGTTTCTATTGGAAAATGCTCTGACAATACTTAAAAACAGCAGTGGTAAACAGTAGTTGGCTATTTGTTCATATCTGGTTTATGGTTTATCTCAAGGACTTCCTCACCAGCTTTTTCAAGTAGGCTTATTAAGCTTCAGAGTGGTGTTTAGAAAGCACACATGGGGTGTAGTCCTTGAGGCAATGTATGAGAAAATAACCAAGGACTTTTCCTTAAAACAGAACTGATTAACTTTTTTTTTAAGTTTATTTGATAATCACAAAAGTAATTTTCAATTGATGAGTAAATATGGTAAACACCAGACACACATATATTAGAAAATGATCCCTGCTAAATTGTGATTTTAAGGACTTCCCAGCAATGTTGCATTTGGCTAATGCATAGCTTTAGTGAGTTAGTGGTGAACAGTACTTAAAAAAAAAAAAAAAAAAGCCCTTCCTGACTCTATAAAGTCCAAGTATCAGATTCTTATTCTTCTCTCGTAAGTGATAATGCTGATGAGACTTTATTGAATTTAGTGGAATAACTTCTCATTTATGTTGCCATAACAGAAAAATGAATAGTACCTTTCCTTTTTTCAGTTCCGTAGAGAATTAGATGTAAGGGTAGGTGGCCATTTCTTTCATCTCTCTTTGGTCATAAACTGTTTCCAGCAGAACAAGTTGATCGCTGTTCCTGGAAAGGAGAAGGCAGGGACTCTTGGTTCCTGAAGATGTTAACAAGGTGTGGGTGCTTTTTTATTTTTGCTTATTAAGCAAACTGTGATCATTCCTTTCAGATGAGGATTGTTACTTACCTCCCCATTTTTAGTGTATGACTGGTATACGTTCTATATATTCTTCCTCTCAGTCCGTTTGCTATAATGCATTCCTACATTGCTTTCTACACTGTGCCGTGTGAGATCCTATCTTCAGTCTTTGGTAAATTGTCTAATGTTTTGTCTGTGAACAACTTGTGCCTTTGCTTTTCGTCATCGGCTCCTTCATGTTTTTGATCATTGAACCACCAAGGCAGTTTGTACGGTTGAGTTATAGTTCGAGGAACTAGCTGTAGTGCCCCAACACTTGGGAATTTGAAATGGTCCTCTTGGGATTCCTCCGCAGCCTCCAGTTTCTCTGAAGGATCTTTCAAGGTTTAGACAGTTTAAAGACCAGTAGTTATTGCTACTGTTTTAATCAGACATTGGAAAGGAATTGAGACAACTCTAGATTTTGACCACAAAACACCTCATACCTAAAAGGAAAATCTTTGAGAGAAGAGCTTTCCATCTGGGATTATTAGACATCTAACTTACTGTCTTTTGCAACTGCAGAGATACTTATGTAGTTCATCAGCGTAGCGTAGATTGGTTCTGAGTAGAAATGATTTTTCCCATGGGAAAGGCTGGATGGGTGGCTTCTGATGTGTCTTCATTACATGCTTCTGTGGTCCTTTTGTACAGTTAAGTGTTTGAACATTTCATATGTTGTTAATTGCAAATAATATACTTTGAAAAAATTCTTAACAAATTATCTTTCTGTCTTAAAAATAATGTTGGTGTCCAGTAATTACGCCTCTTGCTCTAGCATTTATCTATCTAGTAAAGCTGAGGGAAAAAAAAAAAAAAGCAGCAATAAATCAGTTACATGTTTGCCACC